AGCATGGTTAACATTTTTGTCCTTGCTTTGTTCTCTAACATAAAATTTCATAAAGAAAAATTATTTTAATTAAAAGTAGGCATTTTATATACATGAGGGCTCTGTTGTGATTACAACTACAGCTTCTACTTCTGCTTACATAGACTTATTTGCTTGGAAGGAAGCACAGATGCGATGAGTCTCAGTGTCTGCAGAGCCCTGTTGTGTGGCCGCAGCGCCCTCTGCTCCCTGCAGAGTATCCCTTGTAGTTTGGAGGTGAGGTTGGCCTGTGCCTTACTGTAGGGTGACGCTGTTCCCACAATGCAGGCCTGGCAGCAGACCTGCCTGCTGAGGGTTAGCTCAGTGATCCAGAGGGCCGCTTGTCATGAGTCCACTCTTTTCTAACTCTCTCAGCAAACTGTTCTCCAGGACAAAAATTTTTTTTAAATTAATTTTATTGAGAAACAAATAGCAATAAGACAGTTTCAAAACTGATTAGTAGGACAGTTTCAATAATTAGTACATTGCAAGGGCTGGGGAGATGGCTCAGTAGAATAAGTGCTTCCCTGGCAAGTGCAAGGGCCTGAGTTCAATCCCCAGTTTTGCAAAAAAAAACAAAATAAAATTAATACATTGCATATTGTCTTCATAGTGGTTATTCATGGTACAAGATGCAGGCAGGATATCCTGTCAGATCAGAACACTATTAGTGCAAATCTTCTCATTGAATTAAGAGAAAGTTGTTATATATCTGTCCTAACTATTTTGTATATACAGATACAAAGTGGTCCTTCATTTGTATCCCTTTTTTAATTTAGTTTTGTCAGAGATGGATAGTCCATTGCCATTTAAATATTCAGCAGAAAAGTATAAAAATGAGGTATAAAAAGTAAAGCCATATTGATATGCTGAGCTGTAAAAGGCTCAAGTCAACAACTTCTGACATTGCCAATCCTGCAGATAACCCACTACTGTTATGTACTATTGGGCTATATTGGATTATTTTGCTGAATTCACGCATCTACAATATCCCGGACAAAATTTTAATGCCAGTCTTACATAGGAAGATAGCTATGGCTTAATATTCTGTCATTAGTGCTTTAACATGTAAGGTATTGCTAGGCGTGGTAGCACATGCTTGTGATCCCAGCCCTTGGGAGGCTGAGGCAGGAGGGTCACTGATGCCAGCCTAGGCTACATAGTGAGATCAAGTCCAGCCGGAACTACCTAGGGAGACCCTAGCTCAAACCCTGCACCCCAAACATATCACACTCATATCCTCCCCCTCCAGCACATGGGGTTCTAACCCCCTTTCTGGAACATGCGATAGGAATGCATTGCTTTTGAGAAGCCTGAAATTACTGGGGGGTAATATCTGGATGTTCTTAAGTGTGGGTAGAGATACAGTTAACTTCTGCTGTGAATGTTTGCTGATTGTGAAAAACATAATAAAATTCATTTAAATAGGTTTTGACGTGGATTATGACAATATATGGAAGCCTCCCATGTAGAACGCCATTCACTATAAGGAAATTTTCTTTGAGTTTCTAACATCAGTTTTTCACTTGACTTTTCCAGACTATATTTGAAGATGTAAGCGGCTTTGGTGCCTGGCATAGAAGATGGTGTGTTCTTTCTGGAAACTGTATCTCTTATTGGACCTATCCAGATGACGAGCGGCGGAAGGTAACTGAAATGGTGCTACTGGCGGGGAAGGCCCTGGTGACATTGGTGTGGTGTCCACGTGGGTGGCCCTCTGCTCCCAGCCCAAATTCCCCATTAATCATTCTTCTCAGCCATTAAATGTCCTGGCTGCCGGCGTGTGTGTGTGTGTGTGTGTGTGTGTGTGTGTGTGTGTTTGAAAAACAGACAGAATGAGAGTGTTCTGTCCATTCCTTGGGAGCTGGCCATCCTTAAAATACTGAAAGCTGTTTATTTTCTTTTCCTTTAAAATGTTTCATAGTAATTTTAAGTTGGAAATTTGGAAATACATTAATTGATTTACTTATATCCGTGATCCAATAGTAATGAAGAACCTTCCATAGTTGGTTTGGATTTTGTTTCTAAAACTTAACAGTAGTTGAGGAAATGGCTTAGTAGAATAAGCACTTGCCTAGCAAGTGCAAGAGCCTGAGTTCAATC